ATGACTACAGCCGATATGGTTTTGTTTACACATTAAAGCACAAGGATGAAACATTTCAGAAATTTAAGGAATTCTACAAACGTATAGAAACACAACATAATATCAGAATAAAGCAAATTATGACAGATAGGGGATGTGAGTTCATGTCTAAAGAATTCTCCCAATGGTTAAAGGATAGAGGAATGTTACATTTCACGTCCAATCCTTTTTCTGCATTTCAAAATGGAGTTGCAGAGAGGAAAAATTCCACACTACAAACCATGATTAGGTGCACATTAGAGGATGCTGGTTTAGGCAAACAATTTTGGTCAGAGGCATTACATTATTCAAATTACACTCAAAATAGAACCTGGTCCAGTATTGTGAATAAGACACCATATGAGGTGATGTACAATAGAAAACCCAAATTATCACACATGCACATATTTGGAGTCACTGCAGACGTACACATACCTAAACAATTGAGGAGAAAGGGAGAAAACGTATCCAGGAGATTAAGATTCATGGGATACGAAACTGGAACCAAAGGGTACAGATTTATTGATAGTAATAACAAATTTATAGTATCCAGAACAGCTGTGTTCCATGAACAGGCCAATTGGTCAAAATTGCACCTTAATGAAATATTTCCTAATAAATGTAAAGATACGATATCTTGCGAGGAAGGAACAACAGAAAATCAAAATATTAACAAAAGTAAGAACAAAACCAAAACTTGGACTAATAGTCAGCATAAAATAAAGACAGACACATTAACAAAAAAGGAAGCTAGATATTTGCATGATAACCATAGCAAGCCTGAAAGAACTATTAGAAACAATAGAAACCAAATACCAAATAAATACAAAGATTACATAATGCATATGAATGGAGAACAAATAACACCTAATACATATGAAGAAGTATTGAAACTTCCACATGAAGAAAGAGAAAAATGGGAACTAGCTATGGAAAAAGAGATGGAAAGTTTACAAGGATTAAATGTATTCACACCTGCGATCGCACCTAAGGATAAAACAATTATAGGTACCAGGTGGATTTATAAAATTAAGAACTTAGAAGGAGGCAATACCTTATACAAGGCTAGACTAGTTGCACAAGGCTATGCACAAAAATATCCAGAAGACTATACTGATACATATTCACCCACAGTGAGAACAGAGAGTGTCAAAAACAGCCCTTGTAGTAGCATCTGCACTCAATCTGGACGTATTCCAATATGACATACAGACCGCATACTTACATGCAAAATTAGATAAGGAAATATATGTAAGAGCACCACACAGTCAATACACTAATAAGAACGAAATTTGGTTATTAAATAAGAGTCTGTACGGATTAAAGCAATCCGGCAAAAGATGGTACGACTGCTTGGTAAAAGTACTTAAGACCATGGATTTCAACGCCACCACTGCTGATAACTGTTTCTTTGTAAAAAAGAGTAATGATCATATTGAATTTGTATTAATTTACGTGGACGATATTTTATACATTGGAAAGCATAAAGAGAGCAGGGAAATCTTTGTAAATAAGTTAAATGAACACTTCTCACTGAAATCTCTGGGTAAAGTGAATAAATACCTTGGTGTGCAAATTAACAAAACTAAAAGGGGATTCAAACTTACACAGAAGATAAAATCATCGAACTCCTAAACAAATGTAACTTAAATAATGCCAAAATCTGTGACACCCCTATGCAAACTGATTTTCTTAGAAACACTGATGAATCTTCCCCTGAGTTTAAAGACAACACATTTTACAGATCAGTTATAGGTTCACTCCTTTATATATCTAATTGGACTAGGCCAGATATTGCATTACCTCTCAATCTATTGTCAAGATATGTTAGTAAACCAACCTTGTATCATTGGGAAGCTGTCAAAAGAATTCTAAGATATCTGAAGGGTACATTAGATTTTTGTTTAATGTTGGAACCCAATAATGACAGAGAACCAAAAATTACTTGTTATGCTGATGCAGATTGGGCTGGTGATACATCATGCAGAAAGAGTACTTCTGGTTATGTTTTTCTATTGAATGATTGTCCAGTTTACTGGTATACTGGTAAACAAGAACTAGTAGCCACTTCTACTACAGAAGCGGAATATGTTTGTTTGTCCAAGGCTGCAAACAACCTTGTATGGTTCAATGATCTGATCACTGATGTTTGGAAGAAACCCACTTTACCATTTATTATGCATGAAGACAATAAAGCGGCCATTGAAATATCCAGATCCGATGCAATTGGACAAAGGTCCAGGCATATTGATATAAAGTTTAAGCATGTGAGACAACTGTCTCAAGACGGATTCATTAAAGCAATACATTGCGATACTTCTGAACAATTAGCTGACATATTAACAAAACCCTTACCTTCTAAACAACACAAATATTTAACTTCTAAATTATATGTATTATATTGTCCTGAATCAGAATGTAATTGGTGTTGTGTAACGAACCGGCATTTAGAGGGGGATTTGTCAGATGTAAATGCCTTATTCTCCAATGTGTAAATAATGTATATATGGAACATCAGAGGTTAACTTATTCTTTGGACTTTAATGTATTCATAACTTACCACTCCCATTCCTAGCTCCACCCCTTGTATATATAAGGAGCCACCCTCACCATTCTAACTGCTTCTACCTTGAATATTCGGTGAATATAGAATGCCTATCATAATTAAAAAGAAATATATTTAAAGCTCTAACTCCTATTATCTTTATTGAGTCTGATCCTGAAAATATTGCAACAGCTAAGAAACAAGTCATAAAATGAGGATTATCTGTATTTAATATTTTATTTTTGCAAACATTATTAAGGATCACTGTTGCAGGTGGCCTAAATTGATTTAGATAAAAAACCTTCAAAAAGAAAGAGTATGAAGATTATTATTGTCTGATTTATTTTTTTTTAAAGAGTGGCTATTACACATAAGAGATATTTTCTGGACACTCAAGAAAGAGAAGAAAATGACTTCTCTTTACTTGAAAATGTAATTGAGAAATGGGAAGGCCAGAGAATCAGCCATGCCAGAGAAGTGTACATGCAAAGCAGCAGCTGCCCCAGGAGAGTAGTCAAAAAATGGCATGATGGTGTTTATGTCTATGATCAAAGCCCTACCCTACAAAGCCCCACAATGTTGATATGGAAACAAGAGGGAGGGTGTTTCAGTCACAAGTGCCAATTTTACTTTTTCACACACAAATCTGCAGCAGGATAACATATACTTAGATCCATAAAATGTCTACAGGTACTCCTCAACGTATAACTATAATGGAGCCTGCCCATTATGGTTGTATGTTGTGCCCATTGTCAATTGGGTCATAACTTTGAACAGTCACTAAGTGACCTATATATGAATACCCAGAACTCTTAGCAATGGATCTTTATAGTTCTGGAAGTTTCCCAGGTTGCTGAAAGACTACAGTAGTAGCTCAAATCATGAATGAAATGAAAGCCCTAAAATGGTGACAATGTCTGCATCATCATCATCATCAACAACAACAATTACATTTTGTTCTGTTTTTCTCCCACCCCCCCACCCCCAGCCCCACAAGTTATGCCATGTCATGTACTCAAATTAGGCTAAGTGGGATCAGCCCTGATGAGTATTTGGATGGGAGGAAATGTCCAGGATATCTCAGACCAGTGTCAGATAGAATCCCAGAACGAAGCAACAGCAAACTGTTGCCAAAAATCTTACATGGCTGCCCATGAAATTGTCAAAAATGAGGCTTTATCTATTTTGGAACCATTTTATATTTTAAAGAGAAGAAGGAAAAATATGCTTCTGTGTGACTGGATTTAATAATAAGTTAAAGAGCCTTGGTGGTGCAGTACTGCAGGCTACTTCTGCTGACTGCCGGCTGCCTGCAATTTGGCAGTTCAAATCCCACTAGGCTCAAGGTTGACTCAGCTTTCCATCCTTCCGAGGTGAGTAAAATGAGGACCCAAATTGTTGGGGGCAATATGCTGACTCTGTAAACTGCTTAGAGAGGGATGTAAAAGCACTCTGAAGCGGTATATAAGTTTAAGTGCAATTGCTATTGCTAAAGGACTGCACTTTTTTTATATGTCTGGATCTTCTCTCTACCTTTCAGGTTTAGGTCATTTTATTTACTATTAAGTATAATCATACTATCACTATTGTGTTGTGTCCCCCCCCCAACACACACATAATGTACCACCAATAAAACTATCAACAACAACAATCAAGAAATGAGATTGTAAGACTTGATCTATTTCTTCTCAAAGAAATGGCTTCATAAGGGACAGAGACAGAGGTAAGCAATGTGGATGCTACTTTAGATTTCAACTTTCAGGATCACAGTGGACAAGACTTATGGTCCATTTTATGCTGTCAAAGTATATATTATTGAGAATTATCTTGTCCCTAAATGGAGGCACAATTTCCAGATTTTTGTAAATTAATTTTTACTGTTGGTAGAAAATCAGCAACATTTTTTTCCTCTGTTAAAAATAATAAAAGTCCAGAGTTGCTTGATAATGAGATGAGTAGTATATAAGCTTAATATAATAAACAAAATACAGTTCTGTTCCTTCAGATAGAAATAGGAATTGTAAAAAAAAAATGCAATTCTTAATTACACATACACAGTCACTTAACATCCAACCAAACATATTTTGTTGATGCACATCTTGCCAATGTATCATTTCAAATATAAGATTGCATTTTGTAATGGTTGCTTTAATTCTCAAAACTGCCTCTAGCAGAGTTTCATATTGTCAGTTGAAAGGTATGTTGGATTGTTTTAAAAAGGATATTAATTCCCTGGGTGACTACCACATCTATAGACTAGTTACACTAATTAAATGCTTGCATGGCAAAAATAACAAGAGACACAAAATTTTTTTGATTGCAACAAGCAGCAACAGAGCTTTATTGGACAATTTTCATCAGTATCAAAAGCCGAAGGACAGTCACAAATGAACTGAAGAAAGAGAAAGCATATCCTCCAAGAATGTGCTTTAAAGAGTGGATGACACAAGGATTAAGTGGAAACAGAAATCTTTTGTGATGGTCATTGACATAGAAATGGAAGAGCAGAGACCTATCTATTGCGAGGATTTATGCAGAGAATTTGAGCAGATATGATCTTTTTTGATCATAGAAATTCTTGGAGGAATTTGGAAGTATCAGTCACAAGATTTTCTTCCGAGTCCTGTTGAAAAAGACGAAAAGGGAAAAATGAATCTATGGGAAAACTGGCAAATACAAACAACAAGAACTGAGAGGCAAAACTCATGAGTTTTTGGTGGTCAAATATATTTTCTAAAGACCAGGACAAAGTATGTTCCCTGCAGAGACTCTCTTTATCTCAATAGAATGAAATAAATAGAATGAGATTATGGGTTTTTCATTACTTTAGATGTTTAAAAAAACTACTGAAAAAGAAAAGCATTTCAGATACTGAACAGCAGCAAACGTTATAAATTCATTTAAATTAAAGGCTCTTGTAACTTTCTGGAAAAGTAGGCAAGCTGTCTTAGGGAGTTCTGAAATTATTTTTAGAACTAATCTAAATGAACAAAACAATATTTTTTTCAATTTATCATCGTCTTTCAGATGATACCATTCCATGTTCTTTGTTTCATCTCAAAGGTAATCTATCTTTGCCTAGACTGATGGCAAGGGCATCTGCACAGGGTGACAGAAAATGAAGATGTGTAGAAGAAGGGGTGACAGAACCTGGATGGAGTTAGAAGAGGGATCTCTATGTAGCCACAAGTGGACCAAGTCCAACCTCCCTTGAATTCCATTGACCCTATCTAACTCCAAGCAGGTGTTAAGCATTAGTTAAGAAAATTTCTGTGCATAGGCTGTTTAGCAATAAAAAACTTTAATTGGACCTTCACATGTGGATCTTGTCTGACAGTTATGACCCATGTGATCAAAGCTCCATCCCTTGTTTAGGTGCACTGTGGGGACTGGTGATAAGGGACTTCTGTGCCTTTGAGTAGCCCATCAAAGGCAATCCTCCAAAAAGGAGTGAGACTCCAGGACCAAAAAGTGTGTATTGTGAGAGGAGTGTTTTTTTAAAAAAAACAACTTTAAAAGTAAATGTTGAAAAAACTTGATAACTCTTTGTAAAAATGTTTGCAGATGAAATGAAGTACCTCACAAAATTTCAAAAGACACAGGAGAAGACTGAGATGGTAACATGTAGCTATTATGTTGCGCTAAACCCCATTTAAATAATCCAGTTTAGATGAGACAAAGAAAATGGAAGGATTTCTTACATAGGGTCCTGAGAATCTAAGGTTTAAGCCCAAAATCAAAATTAAGGAGGTGCATGGAGTCAGGTGTGCTCAGGATTTAGAGGTACTGTCTTTTTTTTTTTTTTTTAATTTGATTTATATGCCGCCCTTCTCCGAAGACTCAGGGCGGCTTACAATGTGCTCAGCAATAGCAATAGTCTTTGACATGAAGGATCAAAAGACATGATAAATTCTGCCTCACCCCCCAAATAGGAATCTATATGAAGCCTCCAGTTTGGTTGCCATTTGTACAAATATTACCTTGCTTAACTTTTCCCCTTCTGCCAAGCCAACAAAGTGATGACCTCTGCCTGTTATAGATTCCAGGCTCAAATTTAGCTTTGGTTCCTATTACTAACCCAAGAAACTCTGAACTCCGCAAAATATAGCCTCCACCACTAATTCCAAACTTTGTGGGCAACCTTAGTTGAACAAATGGCTGGAACTGAGCTCTCTATTTAGGATAGTAGACACAGAGGCCATATTATTTGCAAACCAAATGATACACAATTACTTAGCATGCCAAACAGCTGCATAGATAATGGTCAGATGCACCATGGTAATTTTCCGGCATTCCTATTTCTGATTTTCCGTAGTTAGCCAGACTCTACATACTTTTCCCATTAAAAAGATTTCCATTGTTATAAAAAGAAATATGCCACATTTTAAGTCACCTTTACTGATTAATATTATTCTTCCCTGCAAGCAGAAAAAAGAAAAAAAACTAATGGTGGTCATGATAATTCTCACCTGTTTTGCACGCCTGAGAATGTGAAGACGTGGGATAGGACTGAGGACGTGAAGAAATTCCTCCTCCACTATGTCCTCCTCCTATGCAGATGCCTCCTCCACCGATGCTTCCTCCACTGACACCACCGCCTACACAAACACCTCCTCCACCGATGCTTCCTCCGCTGACACCTCCTCCTACACAAACACCTCCTCCACTGATGCTTCCTCCACCTCTTCTACCACCTACATATCCTCCTCCATGTCCTCCTGAGCCACTGGAAGAAGAGAAATATAATCTGTTATAATATCATATATTTCTAAAATAAGGATAACCCATCCATCCATCAACCAATAATAGAAACTCTTACCCAGGAGAAGAATTCCCGTCCCTCAAATAAAGTAACTATTGTGACTTTAGCATCAAGCTCAGTAATATAACTATAATTTAAGCTGGGAAAGAATTTTACCTGAATTCTAGGAGATCAGCTCCTAGCTGGTTTTGTCAGTACTTGTTTACATGGACTAGTGGTCTAAGTCAATTCCAGGCAATATTGTAGCCTTGTTCGCTATGGTTATTCATCACCTCTTTCCTTCTTAATTCTCAGACCTTCTTTAGGCATTATACATTTAGAGTTTCCATCTTCTAAGTAGATTGCATAACCTCTGTTTCTAGGTCTGTTTTTCCAGTGACATTTAATATTATTGAATTTCAGTTCACAGGGAAAACAACAAGACTGGAGTTTGAGTACAACAAGTCGCTACCCTTCTTGGCTTCCATATGAACTGAAATTCTGCAGTATTACTTTACTCTAGAGGTAATGGTAACTTCTGATAAAAAATGTCACTGAAGCAATGTCAGTAAGATTTGTATTAAGGTTATGTAGAATGCTCACAAGTTAAGTCTAATATGACGCCCTAAAAGGGATAGAACCTTTCAGGAGATTCTTGTGATTTAATGATAAATGATTATCAACAAGCTTTGTTCAAGAGCACAGAGCTTAACTCCTGTCTGGAACACAATCAGTTCACATTTTCTACATTTCCTAGTCAACATACATTTCTTGCTGCCCTTCCTCAAGCAAACGGCGGTATTGACAGATTTCCTGTTCCAGACGAGTTTTGATGCCAAGGAGCAGCTGATATTCTTGATTCTGACTTTCAATCTCACACCGGATGCTAGCCAATTCTCCTTCTATTGGTTCAATCATAGCCTGAATCTGTTGTAGCTGCATGTTATAGCGACGTTCTGTATCCTCCAGATTGGTTTGCAGAGACTGAATCTGAAAACAGAAAGGCAATACATAGGACCTGATCTTCAAGAAAATACTAAGGTTCTTTTAGCAAAAGGGAAGGGAGAATAGAAATATTTAGTTACTAGACAACCATTTGATGATTGCTGACTGTAACCATTTCTACATGCTGTCACATACCATGCTGATTTGAGACTGGAGCTCAATCTCAAGGGTTTGGTACTCTCTTCTCAGTTCTGAAAGATGATGGTTGCTTGAAGTTATCTCCTGATCACTTGAACTCACTTGTTGGCGAACTTCTTCCATCTAAAAGATACAAAGGAATAAAAATAAGAAAAAAAGAAGAAGGTAATGTAGGTGGCATGGGAAAATTGGGAGGAGTGGCAGTGGAATTAGACCATGTTAAGAAGTCTTCTTCTGAAAATACCTGATTCATCCTCACAGGCTAGTTCATTTCTTTCTTTCTCCAAAGCCCTTCTCCTTCCATAGCTCCTCTTTCAAAACCTCTACTCCATTGCACTGCTCTAGCTGCACAACCCTTCAATGGGACTGATTGAATGTTTTGCTTGAGGAGAGGGGTGGGAAGGGGGTTGTTATTGTTGTTATTTTCTCCTTATTTATGGGTTTCCCTGAATTGAGCTATTACTATCAATCAACTGTTGATCTGATCCTTACAAGCTATTCTTAGGTTAAGAATTATGCTAATCACTTTTTTCTCACCACCTGCAATTTCAGACATTTTTTGTGGGACTCTGACTCTCATATTTCCTGCTTTTCAGCTCCCATTTCCCCAACTTTATTCAGATTGCTTCTAGGATGTCTTGGGGATGTACAAATAGATATTTAGTTATTTCTTGCAACCTGCAACTTGGGCTTCTCTTAGGCTCTTGCCATCAAAGCCCACAAAATATTTCTATATGTTGCTGGGGATGAAAAGAGTTTACATTTTGTGATCACTGGAAGATTAATAGTCTACTTAAATATATTTCACTTGCCTTGGATTCATACCAAACTTCAACCTCTTTTCGGTTTTGTTCAATGATGTTTTCATATTCACACCGGAGCTGATCTAAACGCTGTTTCAAGTCTTGTCCAGGGGCAGCATTCACCTCAACACTGACATCACCATGGCCTCTCTGGCTTCGGAGTCCTCTCAGTGTCTGTAGCAATGGGGATGAAGAAATGAAGCATAAGAAACTGATACTAAAAAGCATTTTATGGGCAGAATGACCTGATTTGTAATGTAAAAACACCCAGAACAGAGTAGAAGGATGTTTTACATTTCCTCCTCATGTAAGAAAATGTTTTTATGACAGCTCAACACCTGGCAAACATTTGTTTTGTAATCCATTTATGGACAATATAACTTCTTATAGTCCCATGATTTCTTCAATCTTCTCCCTTCCCTCTCTCTGAGTTCTGACATGAAATACAAAAGGACTTAACAGGCCTTTGGATACTATGTAAAACATATTCTTAAAAAACAAACTACTGGATGGTTATTCCCAGCAAAGATAATCATGGGTAGCAGTAGCCAATATTTTTATTTTCCCATGTATAGGCCCTTTGGGTTGCTCAGATTCACTGTGGCAACAGTTTTGTGAATGTTCAAGCCACAATCTGTTCCCCGAATTCTGAATTTGCCTACTGAACCAAAAGACCAGTTGACTTCATTGTTTATCTTTCCCATTGGTCTCATGATATTTTACCAAATCATCCCATTGTAATTTATTTCAAACAGCTGGCTACTGTTGCCTTTACTGTTGTATATAGAACCAAAAGACCAGGGATTTTTCCAAGTCTCTTTGTGTGTGTGTGCAATATTTATTTATATCCCATCTTTATTAAATTTATCCGTCTTCCCCCATGGAAAAAATAAAAGAGGAAGTAGGCCTATAAAATATGGAAATATGAGATTTGGTGAGAAGGTAGATTGCTACATCTTCACAAAATGAAGGGCCAAGTGCCACTTGAAAGACATTGTTTCCTGGGTGTTGTTTGGTTGGGAATTGTGTGACTGACTCTTTACTACAGAAGTAATGCCTGGCCCAAGATACATCAGGGAACAGCGGTGAAATATTTTTGGGTGTCATTCAATTCATTCTTTGAATTTTGTTCAAACAGACAAACTGGGGGGGGGGGCGTGTAGATGGCCTGTAAGGGTCAGAAGCTCTGAATGTTAGAGTTGTGTTCACTGGAGCTCTTACCTCCTCATGATTCTTCTTCAGACATATCAGCTCTTCTTTGAGGGATTCAAATTGCATTTCCAGATCTGACTTGGCAAGAGTGAGTTGATCCAAGAGTGGGCGTAATCCATTAATGTCAGCTTCCACATTCTGACGGAGACCAGCTTCAGTGTTGTATCTATTCCACAGGAGAGTTTATAGGAGGTATCATGATTACCACCTTTGCACAAAGGTGTACCAAAAACAAATCCTCTTGGAAAAAGGTTAACAATCCCCCAAAGTACAATGAAGAGTGAAGATGCTCAGAAATTATTGAAGGCTGTCTATGTATTTAAGGAGTAAAAAGAACACATGGAAAAACAGGGAAGAAAGGGGATGAAATGGAGTGAAAAAGCACTTTAAACTGGAGAAAAGGCACACTTCACACTATGTGATTGTGTAGTAGACCTTTGAATTGTACTATTACTAGCTCCAAGATCCAAGTAGCTATTACTAGCTACTTGGAGCTTGTAATCAAGAAAGTGGTGCATCCCTTTCTCAGCTAAAATCACTGAGCGCAGCAAGATTAGAAGGAAGCAAGTGAGAAGTGAATCATACTCACTTCAATTTAAAATCTTCAGCAGTCATCCTGGTGTTATCTATATTCAGCAGAATCTTGTTATAATCATCTGTTTCAGCAATCAGCTGAAAAATAAATAAATATTAGAGATGTTTATGACACAGTAATAAGTAAACTGCTATGATTGTTTTGATTGCTTGGTACAACTGATGATGAAATATGCGGTTTTGATTTGTCTGTAAGATTACACTTTAAGAAATCTGAAAAGGTAACACTTTTTTCTTCTTCTCCTGCCTTTCTTCTCCTACTATTTTTTGGTTTGATATTAGTTCTGCTTTTCAGACCTGATTTTATGGATATCTGTTGTGTTTTACTTATATTTGAAGGCATGACCTCCTGCATCTATGCACCAACATGATTTAGTTTTTCTGGCTGCTGAGTTTGTGACAGTTCCCCCTGAAAACCATTTTACTTGAAAAGAAGAATCACTGATTGACCAACTACATCCATAGCAATTTGGTGTTCCAAGTTTGAACTACGGAACACATGTACTTGAATCAACGCCTAGATGGCGAGTTCTGTGTACTAGACATGGAATCACCTGTACCTCCTGCCCCCTTTCATTATGGCAAATAAGGATTTGAATCAACTTCTCAAACTGATGTCTACCAATATTCTAGGCTGGGTTTTTTTAATACCTAGCTAGAAAGGATACCAATAAATCCTAAAACACACAGAGAGAAAGTAAAAGTAACATTTCCCATTTTAAAGTAAATAACATTTGTGTACTTCATAGCTAATTATCACTACAGGATTTCTTGCCTGCCAGGGGTTCCACTTTTGCCTAATACCACTCTGTTGATCTTTAATATATTTCTTCTTTTTTGTTTCATCTCTAAACAAAGAGTTCTAAATAATTCAGCTTTGTTATATATGATGTTCTCAGTAAATCTATATGAAGAAATCTATATGCTAAAATATACCTCTTGGAAATCCTGCTGACATCAACCTGTTATATATACTGTATATATATTGCATTATATGGCTGATCTGTATTAAATACAGACTGAATGATCAAATGATGAATTCAGAGAATTAATAACTTTTAAATTAATAACTAATTTTTAAGTTATCACTATCATTATTAATCACAATTTAACAAGAACGAAGCATAGGAGCCTCCGTTTCTATAACATCTGTTTAAAATATCACAGTGTGGTAGGTTTATTTGTCTCAAATGATCTAATTTAGTCATTTAGTCAAAAGTTTATTTTGGAGATAAAAAAAATATCTGTGAAGTAATTCAGATTCTAAGGATGAATTTGAAGTATGCATGTCACCTCTGATAAGAATATCTCCTTCCAAGACTGCTATGGCAACTTTTTTCATTTGCAGCACAATCTTGGAAAAAGACAAGTTTGGTCTTAGGTGTTGTCAGCTCATATTTCAAACTTCAGTGAATCATTGCACAGTCCTAATAAATCATTTAAAAGGTTGTTGCCATCACCATCACCACTTATACTGATGTTGTCTTTTTTCCCTTTAGCTTTTTTTTCGGTATAGTAATGTGGGAAAGGGGCAGGAATATGGTCGATTTTCATTTTCCTTAACTTAGAGAAGTTGTAGATTATGAAGAACTAATTAACATTTGTGTGCAAGGAACAACTAATGTAGGATTAAACTCTATGCTTATTTACAAAATGATTGTTTCTATCCCATCTCATGTCCTACAATACTGATCTCTCTTTTCTCTTCTTGCCATTTCTCCTTCCAAATTCTCTTTCATTTCTATGGGTCTTCCCACTTCATCTTTTACATGGATGGCATTAAAGCAGCAATCCACCTTAAGAACGCAGATTGTATACATACCTCATTGTAGAGTTGGTCAATTTCTTGGTAATAGTGACCATAGTCCTTGTCTGGTCCAATATCACCATGCTTCTGATACCATTCTTTGATCCAGATCTCAAGCTGACAGTTTTCATCTTCCAGTCTTTTCACCTGGTCCAGATAATTAGCCAGGCGATCATTAAGATTCTGCATGGTTGCCTTTTCGTTGCTGGAGAGGAGACCTCCATCACCACCACCAAAACTACCGCTGCTGAATGGGTAGTCGGTACCGCCACCATAGCTGCCACCGCCATAGCAAACACCACCATATCCACTTCCTCCATAGCCACCATAACTTCCCCCACCATAGCTGCCACCACCATAGCAGCTACCTCCATAGCTTATTCTCCCTCTACTAATTCTCCCACAGCTACCGCTGCTGAAGCCGCCTCCTCCACATCCACTCCGGGATCCTCCATAACTTTTTCCAGAAAATCCCCTTGAGGACCCTGAGGATGTAATCTTGACGCTGCCTCCACCACAGATCCTGCCACCACCAATACTGCTTCCGCCACCCTTAGTACCACAACTCATAGTGATTTAGATTTAGAATCCAAATATTAGAAAAGCCCCAATTTAGCTGCACAGCCTGGTACTGGGATTCCAACTGTAATCCTTCATCCCAGTTGTCCTTATTTATATCTCCAATGGAGGGAGTTGCCACAAAGGCTGTTCCTGGTCCCTCCCGTGGTATTTGCCAATCCCTTTGTTTATGCCAAGATTTATCTCTCAATGGGAGAGGTTTTTTAAAAAGTTATCAAAGGCAATCTAATACGTAGCTGGCTTTGTCACTCCCACAGAAATTTTAAGTGATGATAAAGATATAGCTGCATATTCAGCCTTATATTTTGCTAATTTCTCCTGTATGTTTCAATTTTTATCTGCCAGCACATCATCATCTTTGGCAGTGAAGGAAAAGGCCTTCGTAAGTTCTTTACATGAAAGCAACAGGATGAATTTGTCTTCTGCTGGTCATCCTTGAACAGAGTAATTGTGCTTAGTGATGATCCATTGAAATCAATGGGGCAAGGTTGTGTAACTAATTCTGGTCTTCATTTGACATTCTAGGATATGCCAATAAGGAACAAATGTGGTTTATTAATACTGCTCAATATCATCACTGTAGTTTTATGGAACAGATATTCTTTATATTTCCTTTTGCAGAATTCTTTTGCAACTAAATTTACTCTCTGCATGTAGGGTTGCGAAGGTTGTTGAGAGTGTGGTGGCGCAACAGCTTCCCCGGTACCTGGATGAAGCTGTCTATCTAGACCCGCTCCAGTCCGGCTTCATGCCTGGGCACAGCACGGAAACGGCATTGGTCGCATTGGTGGATGATCTCTGGAGGTCTCGGGATAGGGGTTGCTCCTCTATCCTGGTCCTGTTAGACCTCTCAGCGGCTTTTGATACCATCGACCGTGGTATCATGTTGCACCGGTTGGCGGGGTTGGGGGTAGGGGGCACCGTTCTGCGGTGGTTCTCCTCCTACCTCTCTGACCGGTCGCAATCTGTGTTGACGGGGGGCAGCGGTCGATCCCGAGGCACCTTGCTTGTGGGGTGCCACAAGGGTCGGTCCTCTCGCCCCTTCTGTTCAACATTTATGTAAAGCCGCTGGGTGAGATCATCCGTGGCTTCGGGGTGGAGTTCCATCAGTACGCTGATGACACCCAGCTGTACATCTCCACCCCAGGCCACCCCAACGATGCCCTTGAAGTGATGTCCCAGTGCCTGGAGGCCGTGCGGGTCTGGATGGGGAGAAACAGGCTCCGATTCAACCCCTCCAAGACCGAGTGGCTGTGGCTTCCAGCGTCCTGATATAGCCAGCTGACCCCATCGTTGGCTATTGGGGGCGAATCACTCGCCCCCACGGAGAGGGCTCGTAACTTGGGCGTCCTCCTGGACGCACAGCTGTCTTTAGAAGACCATTTGACGGCCGTGGCCAGGGGGGCTTTTTATCAGGTTCGCCTGATACGCCAGTTACGTCCCTTTCTAGATCGGGATTCTCTACGCACAGTCACTCAGGCACTAGTCACTTCCCACCTGGACTACTGCAACGCTCTCTACATGGGGCTCCCCCTGGGGTGCACCCGGAGGCTCCAGCTGGTCCAGAACGCGGCCGCGCGGGGGATTATGGGGGCGACGAGGCGCTCCCATGTGACTCCTCTCCTGCACGAGCTGCACTGGCTCCCGGTGGTCTTCCGGGTGCGCTTCAAGGTGTTGGTGACCACCTTTAAAGCGCTCCATGGCTTAGGGCCGGGGTACTTACGAGACCGCCTTCTGCCACCAATAGGCTCCCACTGGCCAGTATGCTCGCACAGAGTGGGCCTCCTCAGGGTGCCGTCCGCCAGACAATGTCGGCTGGCGACCCCCAGGGGGAGAGCCTTCTCTGTGACGGCGCCCACCCTCTGGAACAACCTTCCCCCAGAGTTACGTACAATAACAGACCTCCAGATTTTTCGTCGGGCCCTGAAAACCTATTTATTTCAACTAGCTGGGCTGGCTTGAGTTTAATTTTAAATTGATTTTAAATTGGGTTGTTTTAATTTACGGCCAGAATATTTAATTATTTTAATATTGTTTTTAAATTTTGTATGCTCTGTTTTTAATTTGGCTGTGCACCGCCCTGAGTCCTTTTTGGAGAAGGGCGGTATAGAAATTTAATAAATAAATAAATAAATAAATAAATAAATAAATAAATAAATAAATGTGTGTGTGTGTGTGTGTACCCATGTGTATGATTTTATTTTATATTGCAAACTGAAGAGAAAAGAACATGAACACAATAAGCAGTAGGAAAAAGTGTAGAAGCAAAGGGATGAAATGTACACAACCATATCTTCTTATTGGTTACACATTTATGTTGTTTGGTCCAATCTATTCTCTAAAGCAGGGATGTCAAGCTGAATTTCATTGAGGGCCACCATTAGGGTTGTGTTTGACCTCGGGGGGCTGGGGTGGCCATGGCCAGGGTGGGTGTGGCTAGCTTGATGTCACTCATGTTGGGGGCACCTGTGGTGGTCTGAGCACTCTGCCAGCGAAAATGAGCTCCCGAGCTCCCTTTTAGGCTGCAACAGTTTCATGTAACCCTCTGCCAGCAAAAATGGATTTGGGAGGCCCGCCCATGGCTCTCCCAAGTTCTATTTTCACTGGCAGAGGCACCATGCGCTGGCCCTTCGCTGTTTCCAGGGTAGCCTTGCAGGCCAGATCTAAGCACCCTGTGGGGCCGATCTAGCCCATGGACCTTGAGTTGACACTCCTGCTCTAAAGTCAAAAGGCCAACATCAGAATTTTTTTTTCCCAATTAGATTTTTTTTTTCTTTCTGAAATGTTGCAATTAGAACTTTTGGTAAGATGCAGCTTGCTGTAATTATAACAGCCAAATCAGGTTCAGCATCTGCTACCTGTTAACTAGTTTAGGAAGAGGAGGGAAAAAAAAAAACCCAGAGCAGCTGTTCCAACCCTCTTTTGTTCCCTGGGCTGTGCTGCTATGGCTTAGATTTAAACACTTGATAAAAGAAGTATTTTCATCCTCTGTGCAACTCACAATGATCACACCCAGAGTTTCCTCATTGATTACCTTTCCTTACTAAGCATCTCATTCTAAGCAAACATCTCATTTAATAACTCCTCCCTAAACTGTCTAAACTATGCAGATGTGGTTTTGCTAATATCTGCACATATTCCAGCGATGTGCTTACTTCAGCTCTACTTTCCCCTTTACTCACTCTTTAAACAATGTTAGCAAAAGTGGAGTTGTTTTCTAAGTCTTTTCTCTTTCAGTTTCTCTTTTTTGTTTGTTTTAGACAACCTATACAACTTCATATAGGTAGTCCTTGACTTACAACAGTTCATTCAGTAACTGTTTGAAGTTACAACAGCACTGAAAAAATGTGATTTATGACTGTTTTTCACACTTATGACCATTGCAGGGTCACAATTTATGACGGTTACAGCATCCTGGGGTCACATGATTACCTTCTTACAAGTAAAGTCAATGGGGAAGCCAGATTCACTTAACAACTGTATCACTAACTTAACAACTGCAATGATTCACTTAACAACTGTGGCAAGAAAAGTTGTAAAAAGGGCAAAACCCACTTATCAAATGTTTCACTTTGCAACAGAAATGTTGGACTCAGTTGTGGTTGTAAGTTGAAGACAACCTGTAAACCATTTTCTGTTTGAGCTCAGTTTAGTTTGTCTCAGAAGCCATCCTCTTTGAGAGAATGAAGACATGGATTTACAAAGCATTTTCTTATTTATGGAGATATGTTTTGAAGGACCATTACTTTACCATCATTTATTGTGATTTTTGGTGTTTCGTCATTTCATAATGATGAAATCCTTTCAACCTTCCATTGGATTGTGTGCAACTTGGGTTGCTTGTGCTTCAAGAATGATTAGAAAGAGGAGATCCTTCGGGAGACATGGAAGCATGAGCACAGCATCTCTTTGACATGAACAGATATGTCTGCTTTAACAGTCACTTTTTAAACCCAACTCTAATCCAATTCTATTCATTGTCAGTAAGCATGAATACACCCATTCCAACTTTTTGTCCATTAATATGGGGGTAGGGCTGGGGAGGATTAAAGCTCACATGAAAATTTGCACTTGAATACGGAGTTGCCTTTTTCTTTTTAAAATGTATTTTTCTCAAAACCTGTGTTTCTAAAGTTTCCCTTACACAAACACCTCAAAATGCTTCAAATGCATTCCTGTATGTGTTTTGAATACGGACTGCCCTGGAATATATGAAAACTCATTTACATGTTTACATTTACACATTTACATTTACATATCAGTGCAGAATATGAAATCAAGTTAGTCCAGATAAGAGAATTCATCACAATCAAATACTCTGAATTTCCCATATGGTGTGGTTCTTGTAAGACTGTAGAACTTGTAGTACATGCTGAAATACATATCAAAGAGACCTGAGAAATCAGTATCAGCACAATGGTTCTTGCTATTTGTTTCTCTTATTTTCTAAATCCAAAACAGTTGTGATTTCAGATATTTCTAGGAAACTATATCAATATGAATAGAGCTGGAAGGGACCTTGGAGGTCTTTTAGTCCAGCCCCCTGCTCAAGCAGGAAACCCTATAATATTTCAGAATGGTGGCTGTTCAGTCCTTTCTTAAAAACCTCCAGTTATGAAGCCCCTACAACTTCTGAAGGCAAGCTGTTCCACTAGTTAATTGTCTTCATTGTTAGGAAGTTTCTCCTTAATTCCTGGTTACTTATCTCCTTGATTTCCATCCATTGTTTCTTGTCTTGGCTTCTGGTGCTTTGGAAAATAAGTTGATCCTTTCTTCTTTGTAGCAGCCTCTCAAATACTGGAATACTGCTATCGTGTCATCCCTAGTTGTTCTTTTCTCTAGACTGGCCACACCCAATTCCTGCAATCACTCTTCATATGTTTTTGTCTGTAGGCCTTTAATCCTCTTAGTTGCTCTTATTTGTACTTTTTCCAAAGTCACAACATCTTTTTTCTAATGTGGTGACAAAACTGGATGCAGTATTCCTGGTGTGGCCTTACTAAGACTTTATAGAGCGGTAATAATACTTTTGATTCTATGCCCCTGTTTATACAACCAAGGA